GGCTCGAGGGGGGCGCGCGTCTGGCGTCGGCGGGTGCGCCCAGCGCCGCTCCCGGGAGTCATGGCGACCCTCGCGGACTCCTTCCTGCAGGACCCCCCGGCAAGTTTTGGAGGGGCAGCGGCGTTTGGGCGTATCTGTGAGGCTTCGTTAGGGAAACAAAAAGTCGCATAGACATAAAAACTCGGAGGTCCGCGCGGATTTCTCGGATCGTCGCTGGGGCCCCCCGGCGGCGCCTCCGGCGCCGCCCCTGGCGCGCTCCGCGCGCCAGGGAGGGGGGCCCAGCGCCGATCCGAGAAATCCGCGCGGACCTCCGAGTTTTTATGTCTATGCCGCTTATTGTTCCCCCAGTACTTGTGAGGCCTTGTGCACTGTTTCGCACCCCCACGGCGGCACTCGTCTTGCATCTTCTGCATCCTTCCCTGCGGCGCCGCTTGCTGCCTGCCCGCCAGGGGAAGCACTGGGGGACGCCAGGGCGTGGGCGTCTGCGAAGAGAGAGATCCAGCAAGAATGCCGCTTGGGCGTCGCGCAGTGGGGGGGGGCGAGGGCCGGGGGGGGCCCGCGAGGGCTGCAGCAGAGGAGCCCTCCTTGAGCCCCCCCAGAGGGGCCCTGTGGGCCCCCCCAAACGGGGGCCTCCAGGGCCCGAGACTCGCACTCTTCTCTTCTCTCCCCCTCTATCGCGCCCCCATTCGATTTCTGTCGGGCCTGTCCCCCTAGTCGACGAAACGTAAAGAATACCCCTCAAAATAGTGCAAACATAGTCCAAACATAGTCTGGGGACTAGTTTTTGGGTATTTTTCTGCCTTTTTGGGTATTTTTGGGGTATTGTTTATTTTTCGTCGAAAATCCCCCTGTAGGGGGACACGCCCGACTTAACATTCGCTCACGCCCGAAACGTTCGAAGAAATTGCGGTCGGAAGCTCTGGATCAGCGTGTCGCGCCGCCAGTTTTGGCCCATCATCGGCTCGTAGGGCATAGCGTGTCGTTCTGGCCGCCGCGGCGACACGATACGCAACAGGAAGTTTCCGACCTTGGGCTCAGGCGGAGGTAGGCTCAGGAGGATCGAGGCTTGAGGATCGGGGCTCGCTTTCTGGAAGCCTCTGATTGTCCCGGGTCGCCCCCGTGGCCACGGCTGGATCCACCTTGACATTCTGGCCAGAACGCACAACAGGCCAGGCATCGGTTCTTGACCCCTGATCAGGGCCACAGGAAGCTATACACAGACCCCCTCCAATGGATTGTTCCGTGGCCTCGGGGGACGGTGGCGGTGTACAAATCACCACTGAGGCCCAGCGGCTTTGTACACCGCCGCCCTCCCTGAAGGACAGGCACAGTTCGTCGGAGAGTGTCTGTGTGTGTATATATATACACCTTAGGCGATGCTTAAGAAAACCTAAGTTTTCGGCCAGAGTCTCGATTATTCTTAACGTTTCGATGTAAATCCTAAGATTTGAATGGAAATTTTGGGTTTTTATTCAAGTTCTGAGACTATGAATTTCTGAACCCATGATTTATTAAGCACTTCGCAGGGTGTATATATATATATGTATATATCGTGGCGTAGATCAGGGGCGACGTTCGGGGGGAATGTAGGCCCACAGGGGGATGAGGAGGAGGAGGAGGAGGAGGAGGAGGAGGAGGCCTGGGAAGGAGGGGGAGGAGAGGAGTAGGAGGGAGGAGGGGTGGAGGGAGGAGGTAGGAGGGAGGAGGAGGAGGAGGAGGAGGGAGGAGGGAGGGATGAGTAGAGGGAGGAGGAGGAGGAGGAGGAGGAGGATGCATCGACCCTGGATCGCTTCTTGCGCAGGCCTTGCCGCCTGGTGCCGCCGACCCATTGAGGCGGACGACGAGGATCATGACGACGACGACGACGGAGACGAGCCGACGACCCTGCCGCAGGCTCGAGACATGGGGCGGGCGGTAGGAGGAGGAGGAGGAGGAGGAGGAGGAGGAGGAGGAGGAGGAGGAGGAGGAGGAGGAGGAGGAGGAGGACCAGAGTAAACCCAAGGCTCATCACCGATGCTGGAATAAACCCTCCCTCCGAGCTCCCTCCTTCGTGGGCCCCCCACAAGGGTTTCCATTGAGGGACCTGCCTCCTTGGGAGACAACCGTTTGAGGACCCTGAAGCATGTCAAAACACCATTCTCGGGACTCCAACGTCACGGATCAACCTGACTGTTGCGTTTTGACGATCCTGAGTCGTGCCAGAACACCGTTCCTGGGACTTGAACACCGCGAATCAACGTGCCATCCCTGGTACGTTGACCATGGGAACCTGTGAAACTCTTGCAAAGTTCAACGAAGAATGTGCCCGGCGCTATGGCGAGAGCCACATTTTGAAAACCGCTCGCCCTCAATCCGTAAAACTCTTGCAACGTTTGAAAACGAATCTGCGCGGCGCTAAGGCGAGAGCCACATGTTGAAAACCACCCTCCCTCCTTCCGTGACGCTGTCGCCAATTTTGAAGCTTTAGGGTCCTAAATGCTGAGGAAGTCTTAGGCGAATCGCCCGGCCCGCCCTTTCGCGACCAGCCTTGGGATGCGACAGGGAAGTATTATTTATAAGGCACGATGACGTATATCTATTTATTACCTAACAGCTTGTTCTGATAGGTTTCTAGTGGTGTCAAAAGAGAGCAGCAGATGACTCCACAGGGGGGTCTGGGCGGGTCTGGGCGGGTGCCGGACAGGGTGCCGCAGAAGTCGTTTGAAGCCAACAGTCACACACTTCGTGCTCTTCGACCTCTCAGAACTCCATTCCCGGGCCACATTCTGAATGCCCGGAGCCAACTGTAGGCCACTTCGTGCTCTTCGACTTCCCAGAACTCCATTCCCGGGCCACATTTTGAATGCCCGGAGCCAACTGTAGGCCACTTCGTGGTCTTCGGGTCCCCAGAACTCCATTCCCGGGCCACATTTTGAATGCCCGGAGCCAACTGTAGGCCACTTCGTGCTCTTCGAGTTCCCAGAACTCCTTTCCCGGGCCACATTTTGAATGCCCGGAGCCAACTGTAGGCCACTTCGTGCTCTTCGAGTTCCCAGAACTCCATTCCCGGGCTACATTTTGAATGCCCGTAGCTGACTGTAGGCAACTTCGTGCTCTTCGACTTCCCGGAACTCCCATTCCTGGGCCACATTTTCAGCAGGGGCAAGAGCACGACGAGGAGGAGGACGAGCAAGACCAGGAGGACGAGGACGAGCAGGACGAGGAGCAGGAGGAGCAGGAGAAGAAGGACGAGCAGGAGGAGGAAGAGGACGAGCAGGAGGAGGAGGACGACCAGGAGGAGGAGGATGACCAGGAAGAGGAGGAGGAGGAGGAGGAGGGGAGGGGGAGGGGAGGGGGAGGACTACAGAGGAGTGAGGAGGAGGAGGAGGAGAGGAGGAGGAAGATTAAGAGGAGGAGGAGAGAGAGGAGAGGAGGAGGGAGAGGAGAAGGAGAGGATGAGACGAGGAGGAGGAGGAGGGAGGGGGGGAGAGCGACCAGGAGGAGGGAGAACGAGGACCACCATGAGGGAAGGAGGAGGATGAGGAGGAGGAGGAGGAGGAGTATGAGGAGGAGAGGAGGAGGAGCGGACAAAACTCAGGCTGAGGAGGACGACAAGACGAGGAGGACAGACGAGGGCGACCAGGAAGAGGAGGGAGGAGTAGAGGTATATAAAAGAAGGATGAGGGGGAGGACTACCAGGAGGAGAGGAGGGAGTAGAGGGAGGAGGAGGAGGAGGAGGAGGAGGAAGAGGAGGAGGAGGACGAGGAGGAGGAGGAGGAGGAGGACGAGGAGGAGGAGGGGGGGGAGAGCACCAGGAGGAGGAGAACGAGGACCACCAGGAGGAGGAGGAGGAGGAGGAGGAGGAGGAGGAGGAGGAGAGAGCACCAGGAGGAGGAGGACGAGCAAGACGAGAAGGACGAGAACGAGGACGAGCAGGAGGAAGAGGAGGAGGAGGAGGAGGAGGAGGAGGAGGAGGAGGAGCAGGAGAAAGAGGAGGAGGAGGAGGAGGAGGAGCAGGAGCAGGAGAAAGAGGACGAGCAGGAGGAGCACGAGGACGAGCAGGAGGAGGAGGAGGAGGAGGACGAGCAGGAGGGGAGGGCGGCCGGCTGCCCCGGCCGGCTGCCCCGGCCGGCCGCCCCGACCGGCCGCGCTTGCGCCCGGCCGCGGAGCGCGGTCAAGGGAAGGGGGCGGGGGCGGGCGGTCAAGGTTGATACCCCCTCCTCGCTCGTTCCACTGCCTGCTCGCAGCAGTGGCACCAGCACATGCATCTTTTTCTACATTTTCTGAGCTTCTGTCTCCCACTGCCCGTATTTTCACATATTTTCTGGGGAATCGACGACTCACTGTGTCTGTGCGTTTCTCCTAATGATAAGAAGCCCTCCCCCCGCTCCCCCCGCCCGCCTCTGCGCGCGTCCGACACCCGGGGCCAGGGTTAGGTCGGGCCTGTTCCCCTGCAGTCGGGGCCTTGACCTAAGGAACCCTAAATAAGGAACGAGGCCCCTTTTTTCCATGAGTTAACCTTCGATTTTCTGTCGAAAACCTAAAAGGAAAGCCTGAAGCAGGCGTTGACCAAAGGAACCCTAAATAAGGAACGAAACATTTTTCCCATGAGTTGAACTTCGATTTCGTACAAAAATTAAAAACGAGAAGCAAAAAACTGGTTTGATACAAATAATATTATACGGATATCAAAAAAATAAGCGAGAGCCTCGCCCCGAAATCCAAGGCAAGCTGCGAAACAATTAAGGAACACGAGCCCTCCCCACCGAAAAGGGTTCCTTCTTCAGGGACCCGACTGTATGTGGCAGGGGGATTTGGGCGACCAACGAAAGATACGAAGAAAAAAAAATACCACCCAAAATGCACGAAAAGATCAAAGAACTTGCCCCGAGCTATTACCTAACAGCGAAAACTGATAGGTTTCTAGTGGTGTCAAAAGAGAACATCTGATGACTCAGAAGGGAGGTCTGGGCGGCATCCGGACAGCGAGGGCCGGGCTCAGGGACGGGCTCGTTTTAAGCAAACAGTCACACACTTCGTGCTCTTCGACCTCCCAGAAACTCCATTCCCCGGGCCACATTTTGAAATGCCCGAAGCAACTCCGCTCCACTTCGGCACTTACGACTTCCCGAAACTCCTGCCCGGCCACATTTTGATGCCGAGCCAACTGTAAGCCACTTCGTGCTCTCGACTTCCCAGAACTCATTCCCATTCCCAGGGAAGGGCCACATTTTTGAATGCCCGCGAGCCAACTGAAGGCCACTCGAGTTCTTAAGACTTCCCATCACATCACTCCTGGCCACATTTGATGCCCGGAGCCAACAGTAGGGCACTTCGTGCTCTTCGAGTATCCATAGTATCCCAGAAATCCATTCCCGGCCCACATTTTGAATGCCCGGAGCCAACTGTAAGCCACTTCGTGGTCTTCGAGTTCCCAGAACTCCATTCCTGGGCATGATTTTGAATGCCCGGAGCCAACTGTAGGCCACTTCGTGGTCTTCGAGTTCCCAGAACTCCATTCCTGGGCCACATTTTGAATGCCCGGAGCCAACTGTAGGCCACTTCGTGTTCTTCGAGTTCCCAGAATTCAATTCCCGGGCCACATTTTGAATGCTGAGGCAGGCTGATGCTGAGGCTGACGCAGGCTGAGGATGAGGCAGGCTGAGGCTGAGGCCGAGGCTGAAGGCAGACTGGGGCTGAGGCTGAAGCAGGCTGAGGCTGAGGCTGAGGCAGGCTGAGGCTGAGGCTGAGGCAGAGGCTGAGGCAGGCTACTACTACTAGGCTGAGGCTGATGCAGGCTGAGGCTAAAGGCACGCTGATATGAGGCCGAGCTGAAGGGCAGACTGAGGCTGAGCTGAAGCAAAGCAGAGGCTGAGGCTGAAGGCTGAGGCTGAGGCAGGCTGAGGCTGAAGCTGAGGCAGGCGAGGCTGAGCTGAAGCAGGCTGGGCCGAGGCCGACGGCAGACTGAGGCAGAGGCTGAAAGCGGACGAAAAGCTAAGGCAGAAGGCAAAAAAGGCGTCTGAGCTGATGCGTTGCGGAGGCTGAGGCAAGGCTGAGTCTGCGGCTGAGGCTGATGCAAAAGCTGAGGCTGAGGCTGAGGCAGGCTGAGGCTGAGGCCGAGGCCGACGGCAGACTGAGGCTGAGGCTGAAGCAGGCTGAAGCTAAGGCTGAGGCAGGCGGAGGCTGAGGCTGATGCATGCGGAGGCTGAGGCAGGCTGAGGCTGAGGCTGAGGCTGATGCAGGGTGAGGCTGAGGCAGGCTGAGGCTGAGGCCGAGGCAGAAGGCAGACTGATGTTGAGGCTGAAGCAGGCTGAGGCTGAGGCTGATGCATGCGGAGGCTGAGGCAGGCTGAGGCTGAGGCTGGGGCAGGCTGAGGCTGAGGCTGTGACTGCGACTGCCGTTGCCGCTGCGACTGCCATCGCGAATGCGACTACGACTGCGAGAACAGCAGAATTCTACAACAAGATTCTCATCCGAATCTTAAGGGGAATGCTTCCAGATATGCTCCTACACATCGCTGTTAGGTTGCTTTGCCCGGATAATACATGTGTATATTTATGCGTGTATTTGTATATGCCTATGTCCGTGTCGATGTCTGTGTACATGTATATGTATGTATTACGTACATGTCTATGTAAATCTACAGATATATGCGTATAGTCGTATAGGTGTGTGTGTATGTATCCGTATATGTGTATATATGCACATATGCATTCTTATACGTTCACGTATAGGTACATGCTGATCTATATGTTTATACAGCTGTATAGTTATGTGTGTATGTACATACTTGGATGTATATCGGTGCATGTATATACACATAAATGTATGTTTACATGCCTACACATACGCATCTTTATGTGTATATGTTGATGTAGATGCGTATGTTTATGCATGCATGTATACATGTATGCAGTTATGCGTGTGTGTGTATGTGATTGTAAGTGTGTATGCGCGTGTGTATGAACGTGTGTATGCATGTGAGTTTGTATGTATGCATGGATGTGTGTACGTATGCATGCATGCATGCATTGAGGTATGCCTGTATGTGTGTATGTTTGTATATATGTATGCATGCATGCATGCATATGTATGTGTATGTGTCTATGTACATGTATATGCATAGTCTAAGTGTGTATGTGTGTGAATGTGTGTTTTTGATGTATGTATGTATGTGTTCACGCATGCATGCATGCATGCATGTATGTGTTTATATACATGTCTATACGTATACATGTGCGTATGTAGGTGTGTGTGTGTGCGTGTACCTATGTATGTAGTTATTTACCTGAATATATGTATTTAAATTTATATATATATATGTATATATATAAGTATGTATGTATGTATGTCTGTATGCATGCATTTACAACTGCATGCATGCATGTATACATGCCTGTATGTATGCATGTATGCATACACGTAATTTGTATTCAGGCCTAGTATGTCTAAATATAATATTATATAATATATATATATATATATATAAATATAAATATATAATATAGGAAACGTATGTATGCAAGTGTGCATGGCCATGCATGTTTGTGTCCATACGTATGCACACATTGACGTGTGTTTGTGTCTGCGTGCGAGCCCCGCTGCGGACAACCGGGCGAGCGGTCCAGTGATTCCGCCGTGTGCCCTCTCCGGGAGCGTGCCGCCGGAAGGCAGACGCCAGACAGGGTCGCGCTGCGAGGCCTCCCTGGGTCTCCGTGGGCGCTCCCTGCCTGGTCTCGGGGGGCGCCACCTGGCTGCCCGACGAGTCTTGGCCAGCTCTGGCATCGCATGCCAGTCCTGGTGGCCAATCCTCCTCCTCCTCTCCCACCTGTCCGCCCCTCCTCCTGCTTCCTCTCGCCTCGCTCGTGCCTCGTCCTCCGGGAGCCTCCTCCCTCTTCTGCCCCTCCTCCCTCTTCTCCCCTCCTGGCAGTACCTTTCGCTGGTTCCCTGGCGCAGGATCTCGAAGATCTGGAGGAGGACCACGACGAAGATGACGGAAAGGGCAAGGCCACCAAGGGCAAGGCCAAGAAGGCCAGGCGGCTTGCGCTAGAGGTGAGCAGGGAGGGGGCGTGGAGGAGGCGAGGAGGCGAGGAGGCGGGGAGGCAGCGGCGGAGGAGGATGAGGAGGAGGATGAGGTGGAAACGGAGCATGAGGGTGAGGATGAGAACTCGGATGAGGATGAAGATGAGGAAGTATAGGAGGAGGAAGAGGAGGAGTAGGAGGAGCAGGAGGAGGAGGAGGATGATAGAGGAGTATGATAAGGGGGTTTTGTAGTCTAGACGCTTCGAGTAAACCCAGCAGCTCATCCACAAACGATGCCCAGGCGAATTGCCCCGATCATGAATGCGGAGGAGCATGCAGTGTAATATAGGGCTGGGGAAGCCGTCATACCCAAAGAGGGGGGATAGAGGAGGGGGGAACAGGAGTCAGGAGGAATATGCGAAGGAGGAGGAGGAGGAGGAGGAGGAGTAGGAGGAGGACGAGCAGAAGGGCTAGAAGTCGCTTGGCGGTCTCTTGGGGCGGCTTGGGTATCCCTTGGCGGTCCCCTGGGCCTCTTCGGGCGTTTTGGGTGCCTTTGGGGGGCCTCTTGAGGCCCCTTGGGGGCCCCTTCGGAGCCTCTTGGGGGCGTCGTGGGGGCCTCTTGGGGCCACCTGGGCGCCTCTTGGGGCCATCGTGGGGCCCTCTTGTGGCCCCCTTTGGTGCTCTCTGCAGTTTTGGGAGCCCTCTTGGAATTCTCTTGGTAACCCTGGAAAGCTTCTTGGGATCATCTTTGAGGCCATCGATTACAGGATGGGTGGGGGCTCCCAACTCAGCTCCCCCCATCAGGAGCCCGCGAACCGCTTCTGAGGGTTCTCTTGGAGCGCTCTTGGGCGCTCTTGGAGCGGGCCGCTTGGAGCATCTTGGTACATCTTGAGCCAGCTTGGGCTATCCGAGCCATCTTGGAGGTCATCTTGGGCTCTCGGAGGCCGTTCGGGGGCCTCTAGGGTGTCTTTCGGGTGCCTCTTGGAGCCCTCTTGGGGCCTCTTGGGGCGCTCTCCGAGCCCTCTTGGGGGCCTCTTGTGAACCATGGACGGCGGCCTCTTGGGGCCACCTTGGAGGCGGTCGGTCAAAAGAGGGGGGGTCCTCGATTTAAAGCATTCCCTTCAAACTTCCCTCCGATCGCCCCCCTTACGGGGCCTAGTCCCCTCTCGAATCCCCGTGAGGGAGTGTCAAGGTTCAAACAACATTATTGGTTTGGCCCTCCCCTAGGGGCAAAATGGAAGCCTCTGAAAAACCCCGCTTTCCCCGCGACCTGCCGCCGATCCAGGTCCAGGGGAGGTGGTAGTGGGTGGGGGGAGGGGTCAAGTTACCCCCTCCCCGCCCGCAAGCCGTCTCGCTCACTCCCACCCGCCCTCCCAACACATACGTAGCACCCGAGTCTGGCCCGAGCCTCAGCATATTCAGCAGTCGTCTTTGGATGGGCAGCTACTGGGGGCCAATCCGCCGCCGCCTCCGCCGCCTCCGCCGCCTCCGCCGCCGCCGCTGCCGCCGCCGCCGCCGCCGCCCGCCGCTGCCCGCCGCCGCCGCCAGCCAGCCGCCGCCGCCCTCTGTCCGCCGACCGGCCGCCGCCGCCGCCGCGGCCGCCAACCACCGCGCCGCCGCCAGCGACCTCCCGCGCCGCCGCCGCCCGCCGCGCCGCCGGCCGCCGCCAGCCAAGCCGCCCCCACCCCCCCACCGCTGCCAAACTCGCTCGCCGCCGGCCGCACGCAGCCGCTGCCGCCGCAGCCGTTGCCGCCACCGCCACCCGCCGGCCGACCGCCGCCAGAGCAAACCGTCGCCCGGCCGCCGCCGCCGCACATCCCCCAGCCGCCGCCGCCGCCTGCCCCCCCAAGCCGCCGCCGCCGCCACCGCATCGCCGCCGCCGCCCAGCCGAGCAAAAGCAGCCGCACCGCAGCCGCCGCCGGCCGGCCGCCAAGTGTACCCTGTATTGTTTTTTTGACAGGGATGGTGGGGGGAGGCCGCGTCGGGTTGGCTGCGCATGTTCCGAATTGGGAGGCAGTGTGTGTGTGTGTGTGTGTGTGTGTGTGTGTGTGTGTGTCTGTGTGGATTTTTACAAAGGGATGGTGGTGGTGGGGGGGGCCTCATGGTTCTTGGTTGGCTACCACTCGCCTGGGGGAGGGGGTGTTTATTAATAGGGAACAGTGATGAACCCTTCCCCGAAATGGGAGGAGGGGTTTTTGGAACAGGAAATGAAGAACATCGTTGGACCACCTTTCGCCCAAAGGGCTGATGGGACCTTTTTTCGCCGACGTGTAAGAAGGCGGTTGGAAGGAAATCCTTTAAATATCTCAAGCGCTAACGGCCTTTTGGGATTTGAACGGGTTCTAAGCAGTGTTAGAGCGTTCAAGAATTTGTAGGGGCGCAGAGGGGGTCCTGGAGGAGGGGAAAGGTGAAAGAGGGACGGGGGGATGGTACGGGATATGAGGCGGGGTGGGTGAGGTGCAGGGGGGGTGGACGGGCGGGGCGGACATGGGGGAGTAGGGGGAGCACAGGGGACGGAAGTGGGGTGGGAAAACGTCCGCGCGTGGGCGGGATGCCAACGCTTGATTCCACGCAGAGAACCTGCCCGGTGCTTCGACAAGTTTGGTGGACCGTTCCGCCGCCGCATTGTGTGGACGCGGGACTTCGCAGGTCCGTCACAAAGGGATGATTGCGATCCTCTCCCCCCTTCCTGCCTTTCCGGCCTGCCCTCCCGCCTCCGCCTCTCGCCTTCGCAATTACTCAATATGAATACTACTCTCCCTCTTCCCCTGATGACGTCTTGGGAGTAGCCGCCCCCCCCCCGCGTATTGTTTTTTACACACAGTTTCCCCCGGTGTTGGGTTTTCGCCTGCATTTTCCCCCCCCCCCCCCCCCCCAAAATGCTGCTCTCGCTGAGGCGGCGCTCGTTCCGAATCGTGCTCCCGCTGCAGCGCTGGCCTCATTTCCGCCGGCGCCTGCACGCCCGAGCCGGCGCCCAGGCCGGCACACGGGCCGGGTCTGGAGCCGGTTCCCGCCGGCGCCAGAAAATCGAGTTCCGAGGCGGCGCCGAAAAAATGACATTTCAATACGCATTTTTCTTTTGAAAATGCTGAATTTCTGCTTCCGGCGCCCGGGAGGGAGGACTCTTCGGCCGTTTCCGACGCCCGGGCCGGCGCCCGAGCTGGCGCCCGGGCCGGACGCCCGAGCCGGCGCCCTGGCCGGCGCCCAGGCCCGGTCCGGAGCCGGTTCCAGCCGGCGCCGGAAAATCGAGTTCCGAGGCGACGCCGAAAAAAAGGCAATTCCAATACACATTGTTCTTTTGAAAGTGCTGAATTTCTGGTTGTAGCGCCCGGGAAGCCTCCCGGGCCGATTCCGGCGTGCTTCTGCTCGTTCCGAATCGTGCTCCCGCTGCAGCGCGGGCCTCATTTCCGCGCTTCCGCTCGTTTCGACTCGTGCTCCCGCTGCAGCGCTGGCGTCATTTCCCGTGCCGTGCCACGGCATGCAATGCAATGTTAGGTTCATACTACGCTTCGCGGTGCTCTTCTACGCCATGCCATGCCGTGCTCTACAATGCATCGCGTACTCTTTCGGGATCATTGCCCTGCTCGACATCCGACTGTGCGAGTAGAGAGGGGATCTGCGCCATGGTAAGGGATGGGAGGGAGGGGTAGGATGCCAGATGTGACGCGAGCGCACCTAGCTTGCCCTTTCCCCCCTCCCTCCCTTCCTACGTTACGCCCTCCATCTCGCGCGCGCTCCTTTGCCTGGCCCCTCCCGCGTCACGCAGCCCACGAGGGTTGGCGATGGGATGGGTGCGGAGGGGCCGAGTGGGGGGGGGCAGCTCTCCTCCTGCCCTTCCTCGCTTTCCTGCTCATCCACAACTCCGCCCTCCTCCCAAGAGCCGGGCAGATCTCCCCCCCGTGTTCCCCCCTTTGGGATCCGACGTCGCGACAAGATACAGCATCGTGGCAAATCATGACCAGAGCTCTGGACCCTCCCAATCTCGGCATTTCTCGAGCAGGGGCGATCCGTGACCCTCTTCCCCTCCACCTCGGCTGATCCGCTTCCACAACCAGGACCTCTTCCTCCTCCCCCTTCTGCACTGACGACCGTTCACCAGTCACGCCGCATGCTTGTTCCCCAGTCAGTGCGTGCACTGGAGGGGTCCCAGCGGAAATTGAAAGACTCGGCGAAAGTTTCTCGCCGATTTTGGCAGCAGGCTGGGTTCCTCAGCGACAGCCATCCACCGATCGGGGCTTCTCCTCTGGTGTAGCATTCTCCCAGAGGCCATGGTCTCCCCCGCCCGTCCTCGGCCAGGCCCAGACGGCTGCCCGCAGCGGCGGCTCGCTCGTTCAGCTGCTCCGCGTCAGCGCTCGGTCGCGCTGTGGCGGCCTCCTCCGCCCGGACCCTGCCGCTCCGCCGGGGGGGGGGGCGCGCCTGGGCCTCCCAGAGGGGGCCCGAGCAGACGGGCTCGGCGGATCGGCCCGCCTCGCCGCAGCATCGGCGATGCGGGTCGATGCGAAGCCCGATTTTTGTCCCCCTCCTCCTCCGCCTCCTCCGCCTCCTCCGCCTCCTCCGCCTCCTCCGCCTCCTCCTCCTCCTCCTCCTCCGCCTCCTCCGCCTTCGCCTCCTTCTCCTCCTCCTCCTCCTCCTCCTCCTCCTCCTCTTTCTCCTCCTCCTCCTCCCCCTCTTTCTCCTCCTCCTCCTCCGCCTCCTCCTCCGCCTCCGCCTCCTCCTCCTCCTCCTCCTCCTCCTCCTCCTCCTCCTCCTCCTCGCGTCAAATTTCAGGCTGAGCCTCGCTATTCTTCTGATCGCCGCGTCAGGCCAACCCGAGTCCCCAGAGTCCGAGCCTCTTTTTACGTCGCAGCGCGGCAGAGGCAGTCCGCATGCGCGCTCAGGCGGTCTGGGCAACGGGAACCGCAAGTTAACCGGCGGCAGGAGGAGGGAAAGACGGGCAAAAGCGGCCTCGAGGGAGGAGGGAGGGCGGGGAGGGCACCCACAAGGCGAGCTGCGTCGCCGTGGAGCGGCCGGGGCGGCCAGCCCGAGCTGCACCCCGTGAATCCGAGTCTCACGTCTCCACGAAGAAGGCCGAAGTGGGTCACCACCCACCAGATCACCCCGACCCAACCCGAAGGCCACACTTTGCCATCCACTTCCAGTGTGGGGGGGGGAGGAGGGTCGGGGAGCATTGGAAAAACACACGGGTCCCGTTCCCCCCCAAAACCCGTGTTGTGTGTTTGGGTGGTCTGGTTTGGTAGGTACGGTGCCAATTTTTAAATACATGCTCCGCGTGCGGATCATGTATCAAACATGCAGGGATTCAGCACTGCAAACAACGAGGAGTTCATGCATACATGTATTCATACATTAGTCATGTATTAAAAAACAAACAAATCCTATATTGGGCTGGCCTCTGGCCAGTGCCGCCGATCCGGGGGGGGTGAGACCGAAAAACTTCGGAAATGACGTTGGAAATATCCCCAGGTACCGAAAAACGTCGGAAATGACGTCGGAAGTAACGTACGCCCCCCCCCCCCCCCTGCAGAGCGACGCTTGAGCGAGCTCAAGTCCACGCTCTCAGAAACTCACACGCCGGATCGGCGGATTTTGAAAAATACATGCTCCGCGTGCGGATCATGTTTGAAAAGTGCAGGGCTTTAGTGTTACAAACAACGATGAGTTCATGCGTGAATTTATTGAATCGCTTCGCTCATTCCGCCGGCCCGTGATATGGCATCGCTGGTTTTTGTCTGTGTGTTCGTTGCCCATGTTGCGCTCTTGGGGGCGGGTGTCGTTCGGACGCGTTGCGTGGGGAGTTTTGATGGTGAAGCAGTTCCCTGGGGGTCGTCTCTCGATGGGGCGAAATAGAGTCGTCGTCAAGATGCTTCTTTGGGGGGCCTCTTGGGGTCTGTTGAGAGGCCGTTCGGGGGCGCCTGGGAGACATGTTTGAAGCCTTCTGGGGCTTCTTTTGGGCCTCCTGGGAGTCTCCTGGGGCCTCTTGGCGACATCTTGGGGCCTCTTGGAGGCCTCTTGGGGCCTCTTTGGGACCTCCTGGGCGCCTTCTGGGACGGAGGGCTCCATTTTTGAGTTCTCGGTATCCCTCCTGAGTCCCTCTTGGGCCCGTCTTGGGGCCTCTTGGTCCGTCTTGGGCGGCACTTGGGCCGTCTTGAGGGCTCTCTTGGGTCGTTTCGGCGCCGTCTTGGGAGCTTCGTGGGCCGTCTTGGAGCGGTCTTGGGGGCCTCTTGGGCCGTCTTGGAGCGTCCGGAAGCCGAAAAAGCCAGAACACAAAAAACATAGAAAAAAACCAATGAAAATCAACGATTTTGGCCTCTTGGGGCTCTCTTCGGAGGCCTCTTGGAAGGCTCTTGGGGCGTCTTGGAGGCCTCTTGGGCTGTCTTGGGGGCCTTTTGGGCCGTCTTGGGGTCATCTTCGGCGTCTTCGAGCGCTCTTTGGGCGTCTCGGGGGCCTCTTGGGCAGTCTTGGGGGCCTCTTGGGGCACTCTGAGCGCGCTCTGGGGAGCCTGAGAGGCCGCACCCAGAAGGAAAACCATCTCTGAGTAGACTTGGTCGGGCGGCGGTCGGGCGGCGGTCGGGCGTTGGTCGGGGTACTTTTCGCCGGGGGACCCCCAGGGGCCGCCCCGCGCGCGCGAACTAGAAATACTGTTAATACTGTTAACCAGTTACCGGAGATCTTAGCACGCCCTGGCCCGTTGGGCCGGCGAATTTATACATTAGTCATGTATTACATGTGTTAAAACCTATATGTTAGAAAATCCGATGTATGAAACATCTGCCCTGTAGGTAGCCAGTGGGCTCTGCGAGCGTGCGCGCGGCCGCCCCTGGCGCAGGCCGCCGGTCGGGCCACGCGCGGGGTGGCCGTCGTGGGGTGGCCCCGGGGAAGGGCGCCGCCCCTCGGTGCCCGGCCCTTGGGGCGCGGCACCGCGGCGCCTTTGGCGCCAGCTGGCGTCGTTGTCCCTCCGCTCCTCCCCCGTCCTCCCTCCCTCCCTATTAGGGTCGGGGGTGGACAGAACCCCCAACAGTGACATGTCGACTAGTGAATTGTCCGTTTTCGGTTCTCGAGAGGGCGCCGTGGCCGTTATTTTCCAGGCTTGCGCCCGCCAGGTTTGGGCCTCAGGTCGTTTTCACTAAACCACGTTTTACTAAATCCCCGATAGGGGGCCACATGCGAACCCTGCCCCTACCCCCCACGATTTCTGAGGAGGAGGGTGGGGTTCACGTCGCTCGGGAGCTCCCGAGCGAAGTGAGCCCCACCCTCCCCCTCAGAGATCGTGGGGGGTGGGGGTAGGGTTCGCACGTGGTCCCCTCCCTGTCCCAGTGGCTTGTGCCAGTGCGCCGGCCCCCACCAGGAGGGGTGAGAGTCTGGGACGATCGTGGAAGTGATATATCTTGTGTCGGGAGCCTCCTGGATGAATCTGTGAGGGTCTCTTGGGATGCCTCGCTGGTACCTTTTGGAGAGCTCCTCCGCTCCTCCCTCGTCCTCCCTCCTCCCTGTTCGCTATCCTCCCTCTTGACAACTAAACGATCTGAATGCTCCTCTCCCTCCTCCCCCGAGGTGTCCGGAGGATCTCCAGCCCCCTCGGCGTGCTGTTTTTGTTTGTTTGTTTGCTTGTTTGCTTGTTTGTTTGTTTGTTTGTTTGTTTGTTTGTTCGTTTGTATTTCCCAAACAGGAGTTCAAGAGATGTTTTACTCATGTTTGTCCTCAATCCGATTGGTTTCGGTGTTTCAAAATGGTCCTCCCGCTTCACCGTGGGCCTCATTTTCGCATACGGTGTCTTGCTTCCGTCGTTCAGAATGGCGCTCTCGCCCCAGCGCTGGCCACTTTTCTTCCTCTGGGTCCTCTTGTTCCTCCCTCTCCTTACACTCCAGTTCCTGCTGCTGCTGTTCCTCTCGCCCCAGCGCGGGCCGCTTATTCCTGAACCCGAGTCTTTCTTCATCGTTGTCGCCTCCCTCATTTCCACTCCTCCGCCTTCCCCTGGTTATCCTGTTCCTCCCGATCCTTCCGCTTTGGCTCCAGCTGCTGCTGTTCGTCCTCCTCCTTTTTCCTCCCGCTCATCATCCTGCTCACCCGCCACCTCCTCCTGTGCACGCAGCTCCCCTTCTTCCGATTACGCACAACCCGAAATGAGGTTTCCTTGGGAGCCGCAGATCGGCTCTGACACGCGCCCGCGGATAGAGAAATATCAGCGCCATGGGAAGGGATGGGAGGGAGGGATCGGATGTCAGATGAGGCGTCAGCGCACCTAGCTGACCTCCTCCCCTCTCCCTCCTAGCCTCCCTCGTCCATCCTCCCTCCTCTCACCTCCCTGCTCCCATGCGCCCCGCGGATCCCCCGAGAGCCTCGTTCATCCTCGTCCTCCGTCCTCCCTCTTCCTCCCCGCTCCAGATTCCGAGCGCCGCGACCTTCTCGTGGCGCGGGCCCCTGACGCTTTCGACCTTTTCCTAGAGGTAGTTTCTGTTTCGTCACGGGTCGGTTTTTTACGGTCCTATCGGGTGGGTGGTAATGGGGGGTGGCCTAAATTAGGGGTGAAAGGGCCCACAAGGTGCCTCTTATGCCCCTTCCGGAGATAGCAGGGGCCCCAAAGGGCCCTAAAGGGCCCTTTTAGGGCCCTTCTCTTTGCCCCCTGGTGTAGGTAACCCCTCATTACCACCCGCCCAATCCTGGTTCCCGAGAACGGACCATGAGGGTCGCAATCAGCAACATCCATCATCTGGAGCGTACTTTCCGAGTCGCCAAAGGTCTTGCCCCCCCCCTTCTCCTGCTCCCGCAGGGCGGCGTCGTGGTGGCCGGCGACGACTCAGACGACGAGATCCCCGATGCAGTGGCCCTGTTCGAGCAGGCGGAGAAGACAGGCAGTGGTTTATTGGAGGAGTAGGAGGAAGGATAGGTGAGGGAACAAGTAAGGCAGATGAGGAGGGGCATAAGGATGCTGTGATGATGCTGCTGATGATGCTGCTGCTGATGATGATGCTGATGAGTATGCTGCTGCTGTTGATGACGCTGCTGCTGATGCTGATGCTGATGATGCTGATGCTGACGCTGCTGCTGCTGCTGATGACGATTATGATGCTGATGCTGATGCTGATGCTGATGCTGATGATGCTGCTGCTGCTGATGAAGATGATGCTGGTGATGATGATGCTGATGATGATGATGATGCTGCTGCTGCTGATGATGATGCCGCTGCTGATGCTGATGCTGATGATGATGACGCTGCTGATGATGATGCCGCTGCTGATGCTGATGCTGATGATGATGACGCTGCTGATGCTGATGCTGGTGATGATAATGCTGATGCTGCTGCTGATGATGATGCGGATGCTGACGCTGACGCTGATGCTGACGCTGATGCTGACGCTGATGCTGACGCTGATGCTGACGCTGATGCTTAAGTTATCGTGCTGATGGTGATGGCGATGCTATGATGCTGAAGATGAATACGATGCTGCAGAAGAAACATAATCATATGCTGCTGCTGCTGAGGAGGAGGAGGAGCAGGAGGAGGGAGGGGGAACGAGGGAGGGAGGGAGGGAGGATCGAGGGAGAGGGAAAAGGGGAGAGGAGGGAGGGAGGGAGGGAGGAGAGAGTAGGGAGGAGGGAGGATGGAGGATGGAGGATGCTGGATGAGGGATTGGAGATGTTTGATGGAGGATGGAGGATAAAGGATGGAGGATGCATGATAGAGGATGGAGGATAGAGGATGGAGGAGGAGGATAGAGGATGGAGGATGGAGGATGGAGGATGGAGGATGGAGGAGGCGGAGGAGGAGGAGGAGGAGGAGGAGGAGGAGGAGGAGGAGGAGGAGGAGGAGGAAGAGGAGGACGAGGACGAGGAGGAGGAGGAGCAGGAGGGTCGGCTGTGCGCAGAAGGGGATGGGGGGATCCTTCTGGGAAGTTTCATTTCTTCCTAGAAAGGACCGCCGGCCTCTCAGACGGCTTCTGAGGGAGCTAACCACCCCTGGCCCCCCCACCCTCTGCGAGCAGCCCGAGTGTGCTTGGAACCATCTTGGGCCATCCGCGGTGCTCGGACGACCTGCGGCCGGGGTTGAAGACCCGCCGCATGCTCCAGGGGGTAGGGGCAGGGGAAACATGTTTTTTTTTCTGGCTGGGGTGGGGGGATGGGAATCGTCTTTTTGGGTAGGGGTGGGGGGTTGGGTAGGGTAGGGGTAGGGGAAACATGTTTTTTTTCTGGTTGGGGTGGGGGGATGGGAATCGTCTTTTTTGGTTGGGGTGGGGGGTTGGGTGGGGTAGGAGTAATTAGGGGAAACTTTTTTTTTTTGTTTTGGTTCACACTCGAGAGGCTTGCGCCATTCCGCCGACCCCCGCAGAACGGAAGAGGTCCACGGTGGTCGCCAAGGTCGGGTCGGAAATCTGCAGTGGCCGCGTCGTGCGTGGCTCCGAGGGCCGCGGAGTTGTTCTGGCTGGGTCGTCGCGTCCTCGTGGGGTGACGTGTCGGAGGTGGGGGGCCAACAAGCATCTACACCTTAGGCGATGCTTAAGAAAACTTAAATTTTCGGCCAGAGCCTCGATTATTCTTAATGTTTCAATGTAAACCCCAAGATTTGAAGATAAATTCTGGGTTTTTACTCAAGTTCTGAGACTATGAATTTCTTAACCCATGATTTCTTAAGCATTTCGCAGGGTGTAGTGGGCTTCGGCCCGTTCCCGCCACGGTGCCTCGGCCGTGGGCAAGAGGCCTCGTAGAGGCCTCTCCGGGTCATCTGGAAGGCTTCCCGGGGGCCCCTCAGAGGCAATTGCTGCTGTCCTGCGGGGGCCTCTCGGAGGCTTCTTGGGCATCCCTGGGTGCCTCCTGGAGCCGTCGGCGGCCCGAGGGGCGCCTCTTGGGGACCCGCTGGCCGTGTCGGCGGCCATCTCGTGGGCAGAGGGTTCCCGGGGCCCTCTTGAGTTCCCCGTCTTGGGCCCCTCCTGGGGGCCTGGTGTGCCCTCTTGGGCAGGTCATGGGGATATCTCTTCGGCCCTCTCGGACGCCCCGGAGAGCACTAGGCCGATCACGAGGGACTCGTGCAAGACGTGTCGGGTGTTTGCACGATTTCGGCCTCGCGGGCAAGTCTCCAGGCCCTCCAGGACGCCCCAGCAGGCTTCCAACAAAGCCCCGGGGGGCGCTCTTGGCAGCACCTCGGCCACTGGGATAACTGCTTCGGTGGCCCGGGGAGGTCATCCGGGGTCCCTCCGAGGGCCGGAGGGGCCATTAGCAAGCTCGTAGGGGGACCCTTCCTCCCTCTGCCTAAGTGGGTTTTGGACCCGCCGGGAGGGTGAACGGGGGAGGGGGGTGGCCAAATTTAGAGTCGGCTGGGGGTATCTGGCCGGCGAGCAGGAAGGGCTGGCTTCGAGAAGGTTTTTTTTTCTATTACCTTTCTCGGTCTCTGGGGGCCGTTTTCGGGCCCCAGGACCGTCAGAAACGGATCTGGGGTGACAAATCGCACCACATGGACCCCGGGAGGGGTTTGGGAACCTATTTGAGTGGATTTGCCCTTATCTGCCCCTCCTTGACCAATTTTCTCGGGGCCTATCCAGTTCAAACACACGCCTTTTCACCCCCAGCGAGCGGGGGTCGGCGGATTACCTCTTGGGCTCTCAGTCCTAGCCTGAGCTGGGACATACGAGCTTTTGGGCGGCCTTCAAGGGCTCAAGTGTGGTGCGCAGAGCATGGATCTACCTCTCGAGACAGTCGAAGTCCGAAGTTTGTTCGGGCAAGAACCCGTTGGATTCCGTCGAACTTCCGGGGAGGAACCAGGCCGTGCAACCCATTCCCGTTCGAGAGAGCAAGGTCACCCGCGGCGGCGCGAAGATAGTCATCCTTCGCGCGTCGCGGTCTGGGCCAGAGCGGCTGACAGTCTCCAGGAAGAGGACGCGAAGACAACCGGGCATCGCGCATCGCGGGTCGTGGTGCGCCAAGTCAGGCGACCCAGCGAGAGCAGTCGGGGCTGCCGACAAGGACGAGATGGAGGGTTTCTCCTCCTCCTCCTCCTCCTCCTCCTCCTCCTCCTCGGGTCGCCCGCGGCCCTGGGGGAAACCTTGCAGGACGAGGTGCTTTGCAAAGGACACAGTGGGTCGGTCCTTGCCTGTTGAAGCCCAGCCTCAGCGCCAAGGCCGCCAGCTGACCAGCTGTGCCGGCTCGGACGCCCGTGGGCCTTGCATCCTGCCCTGCGTCCTGATGTCTGGCCCCAGCGGGCACCCAGGAGGAGGAGGAGGAGGAGGAGGAGGAGGAGGAGGAGGAGGAGGAGGAGGAGGAGGAGGAGGAGGAGGAGGAGGAGGAGGAGGAGGAGGAGGAGGAGGAGGAGGAGGAGGAGGAGGAGGAGGAGGAGGCGGAGGAGGAGGGAGGAGGAGGAGGAGGAGGAGGAGGAGGCGCGCGTGTTGGCCCCTCCGCCGCGCCGAGGGGCATGCATAGCCCGGCGCGCCCCGTCTGGCGGGGATCTCGCCCCCCCCCCCCCCCCGCGAGGCAGCTCGAGCGTGTCGGAGATGTTGAAGAACGACGAGTTCCAGAAGCTCATGGACGAGGCGTTTCAGCGGGGCCCGCGCCGTGGTTCAGAGGAGGAAAATCTAGGCCTCTTAGATGGGGTCCGAGTAGATGGGGTCGGAGGATCGCGCCGCATCGCTGATGCATCGGCGATGCGGCTCGATGTGGAGCCCGATCTTCTCCACGCCGGCGTCGCCGATACACCGCCGAGGTCGGCGATGCATGGCCGGTGAATCGCCGATGCATCGCTGATGCATCGCCGATGTATCGACGATACGGCGCGATCCTCGGACCCCATCTATTCCGACCCTATCTAGGAGGCCTCTAGAAAAGTCAGGCGATCGCAAACATGGATCAATGGGGTGTGGATTAGCGACGGGTCCCGTTTCCATGGGGAATCGCGGATTTCCGCCGCCGAGAGAGGCGGGACGGGCCGCATTTTGGGGAGGGTACCTCCCCCGATCCATAGATTTGGCGACCGCGCGCCAAATCCATGGATCGCTAATCCATGTTTGCGCCCCCCCGAAAAAGGTACCAATACCGCTGCACTTCCATCGCTTTCCCCCTCTTTTAGGCCTCCTGGAAGGCCCTCGTCGCCAAGGCTGGATGCGCCTTGAAATTCTAGTCAGAACGCACCCCGGGAGAGATCCAGGGAGTAGCAGTATCGGTACCTCTCGGCTTCCCCAGTGGTGCGGCAGAGCGACGCGGCCTCGACGCGTCCTCGACGCCCACGCGGTGTCAGTGGAGATCGTGAACCACCGGCTGCCCGGCCTCGGCCAGTGCTTGACGGCTTCCGCTGTCGGAGGGCGGGGATGGCGCAGGACTGAGCGAGCCGCGAGGTTTCAGCCGAGGAAGCGCAGGTGGACTGAGGCGGCGGCGGGTCCCGCTTCCACGCAGCACTGATGCGCTCCGTCGCCGGCGGAGGCAGCACTGGCTTCCTGCTCGCGGGGGCACCTGCCCCGATCCGTGGATCGGGCCGCCCGCCCGCCCAGGGCTGTTTTTTTTTGATCCCCTGGCGATAACGGGCGTTACTGGGGGGGGTGGAGGGGGGGGGGCGGGGCCGGTCACGTCACGTTTCGGGCTGGTGCCGTTGGGCAACGCCTGGGAATGAGAGTCAAACCGCAGAGTAGGGACGAGCGACTTCTCGAGGTTGCCCTTGCATCCTTCCATTTCGGCCTATCATTGGCCGCTCTCGCTGGCCGCGCCCCGCTCGCAAAGCGTCGGCACGGCCTTCCAAGGCCCTTGCATCCTCATCGTGCGCCCTTCTTACTTTACGGGTTGACTGGAACCAAGGGCAACTCGGAGGTCCCGTCTCGTCCTCCTGTGATGTGTGCCGTCGGCGGTACATGGATTTCGAGCGCCCCGCGGACGAACCGCTCCGTCGGGAATGCTGCCATCTTTCGTCTGGGCTGGTCGGTGCCTCAATATATATATATATATATATATATATATATATATTATATATATATATATATATATATATCAAGCTGCTTCTAACCCAGACCCCCGACGTAATGATTTTTTCATTACGTCGACCCCCAGAGGTCTGGACCCTTTCCCAGTGACCGGCTTTGCATCCTGAGTCGTTTTTTGACGCTCCCGAGGCCCGGTGAGGGCCCCCGGAGGCCGAAAATTAGGAAAAACATCCCGCCATGATTTCTTCATTACTCGAGGGGGTCTGGGAAGTGTGGTCACCTGAACTGCTGCGATGAGGTCATAAGGAAAAAAAAGGGCAACTCGGAGGGCAGCACGACTCCTGCCGTCGCCTCTGGCGGGGCAGGGTGGGGGGGGGGCGGCCGGGGCCGGCAACCGCGGCTATCGCGCGGCAGCCCAAGAAGGCTCTCCAGACCCGCGGACCCCTGATCCACGCCAGCGCAGGGCTCGTTTCGATTCCTCCGATTCGATTCGATTCGATTTCGATGGCTTCCGATTCCGATTCGATTCGACTTGCGATTCCGATTCGGATTCCGACTTCTTATGGGACGCATAGTAGCCTGCCGATTTCCGCCGATCCGACTTTTCCCGACTCGGCTGCCGATTTCCGCCGATCCGATTCATTTCGATCGCCGATCCGACTTATCGATTCGATTATGGGCTCTCTTGCCAGCGCGCGCCCGAGCCAGGGGACAGCTGGAGGGTAAAACGACGCGAAGATCGGGACAACATCGGATCGGGATAGCTCGAAATCTCTGAGAATCGGCGGGTTTGGAGGATGTGTTGGGCGCCGCGGCCGCTCCAGAGCGTTCCGGAACGCTCTGAGAGCGCGCCGGAACGCTCTGGAGCGATTTATCCCGATCCTAGCCCTGTTTTATCCATGAGAGCGTGCGCCCGAATCAGGGGCCAGCTGGAGGGTTTCCGGGCGAGCAGTTTCAGCCAGGAGTGCAGGTTCCCACCCTCGGACGCCGGCGGCGCTGCGACCAGCCGCGTGCAGCATGGGCTCGCGCCGAAGATCGCGGGCGCGGTGGCGGTCGCGGTGCAGCGGCTCGACGGCCACTCGTCGGGCGGTGCTGGCGAGGAGGTCAGTGGAGATGGAGGCGACCAGGATGACAACGAGCGTGGCGCAGAGGATTCGAGTGGGAGAAGTGCCGCCAGTGCGGCGCCCCCTGGTCGGAGGGCACCAACTATACACCAACACCGATCCTGGCCAGGATCACCCTGGGCCCAGGATCGGTGTCTATGCCTTCTTGCGCAAGGCAGGAGGGCGTATACACCGATCCTGGGCCCAGGGTGATCCTGGCCAGGACCGGTGTTGGTGTATAGTTGGTGCCTTCCTACCTGGGGCCGTCGCCGCGGCCCGAGGTGCCTTGTGGCGATGGCGAGGAGAGAGAGGGCATGGCTGCTTCTGTGGCAAGGAGGCCCTGGTGAGGCAAGGATCGAGCCTCGAGGCGGGTTCGAGGGGCAGGGGGTGCAGGGCGAGGACCGCCCGCGCCTGCCAGAGGGTGACGGTGAGGGGCAGGGGGTGGGGTGGGGCGGCCACCACCCGCGCCCCCGCGGTCCGCCCTCATTCGCCACCCCTACACCTTAGGCGATGCTTAAGAAAACCCAAGTTTTCGGCCAGAGGCTCGATTATTCTTGATGTTTCAATGTAAATCTTACGACGTTAATAGAAATGTCGGGTGTTTATTCAAGTTCTGAGACTATGAATTTCTGAACCCATGATTTCTTGAGCATTTCGCAGGGTGTACCATCCCCACGGCGGAGGAGGAGCGCACCCGTGCGCCAGACTGGCGGCGCAAAGGGCGGCTGTGTGCGCGCGGATGGCCGAAATGGCGCGAGCCCGAGGGACGAGGACAAGACGAGGGGGGGAGGTGCCGCCGGTGCGGCGCCCCCAGGGGCCCCTGCCGCGGCCATCGCCGTGGCCTGCGGCGAGAGTGACGACAGGGGCGGGGGTGACGGCGCGAGGGGGGGGAGTGCCGCCAGCGCGGCGCCCCCAGGGGCTGTCGCCGCGGCCACCGTGGTCTGCGGCGATGGCGACGACAGAGGAGGTGGTGACTGCAGCAGTGGTCAACACCGAGGGCGCGGAGTGCGCAGCAGCGAGGACGCTCGGGCTCGAAGGGCAGGACGAGTACTGCCCGCGCCTGCCAGGGGGGATGGTGAGGGCAGGGGTGGGTGGGTCGGCCACCCCCCGCGCCCCCGCGGTCCGCCCTAGCTCGCCACCCTCATCATCCCCGTGGCGAAGGAGGAGCTCACCCGTACGCCGTCGTGGCGGAGCACAGGGCAGTGGAGGAGCTGGAGGCGGCCTGGCTCGGGCCAGACCGCTCGGGCCAGACGAGAAACGCGGGGCCCCCAGGGGCCTCCGCCGCAGGCCGCCGTGGCCTGCGGTGGGGGCGAGGACTGCGACGACGGCAACGGCGGTGCTTGGCCGCGCGAGGAGGTCGAGGCGAGGGGGGGAAGTGCCGCCAGTGCGGCGCCCCCCGGGGCCACCGCGGCCTGCGGCGGGGGCGACCAGCTCTCCCCGCGGAGGCCACGCTCTCCTGCACGGCAGCCTGGCCGGTTCGTCCGAGGCCCGCGCGCGGGGGCGTCGCGCCCCCCCCCCCCCGCCCTGGTGGCTGGTTCGCCCGAGGCCGGCGGGCGGGCGCCGCCGCGCCCCTCACGGCGCGCCCATCCACCATGGAGATTTGCGCCCACACTGCGCCATCCCCACGGCGGAGGAGGAGGAGCTCGCACGCGCTGCCGCCTGGCGGTGAGCGGAGCCGCAGCGGTGCGAGGGGGGAGGTGCCGTCGGTGCGGCGCCCTCAGGGGCCGCTGCCGCGGTCATGTTGGCCTGCGGCGGCAGCGAGGTGGACGGCTGCTGGGGCAAGGACGCCATCGGCAGCAAGGTCGCCTTCCTGCTGGCGGCCTGCCGCGCGGGCGGGGGCGGCGGGCCAGGGCGGCCCAGCAGCCCTCCCCGCCCCGCTGGATCCGCCTCGGGGTCCGTTTGTGGGGGCCTTGGGGAGGCCCCTGTCCGTTCTCCTGGGATGTCGCGGTCGTCTGGTCCTCGGGCCACAGCGGCTGGGCTGCCCCATCGGACACTGCGCGTAGTGTC